ATCTATAAATAAATCATTTTACACCCCCTAAACACATACCTTACTCATCTTTTCTTCTCTAATTTTCTTCGTGTTTAATTCTTATCTTCGATTTATTTACTATTTTAAGAGTTTCTTACTAGTTTTTTAGTTTCTCAAAAAGTTTAAGAAGTTCTTATTGTATCCTAGGGGACTTGCGCAATACTTGGTGGATAAGTTCTTAAGGGCAATGATTTTACACAGCGAATCAAGTTTTATTTGTATTTCTGTCATCTTTTACAACAATCTTAAGGACTTATGATTGATAATATGGATACCAACAACAACTCTACACCATAAGAGACAAATAATGTTTCCAGAACTCAAATTATCTTTGTAAAACCATTTCTGGACGTTTCAAAAATTGAAAGTTTTCATATTGGGCAAAACTTTCGACGCTGACAGGAACACACTTCTACTCTGTTAGACATGTATGGAGTGGTTTTTTCTCTTACAACTACCAAACTTGACTCTAGTACTCCTGCTAAACAAATTAAAGATTGGATTCATTTGTTTTATTCTTATAAGGAAACCAAAGATATTTAGGATTCGTTGATTCTCAAATACACTATCGAAGATGTCGTGAGATAAAAGTTCTTATCGAAAACTATTAATGTTGGAAGATGCTAGAATATAAGGACATCAAGATACAGATCAACCAACTAGTACCACAAGTTACTTGAAGAAATTAAAGCAGAAAACATAGTCCTACCTAATAAGTTTGTTTCAGAACTTCTAATCGAAAAGCTTCTGAAATTCTAGACAGACTACAGACAACAGCTGAAGCACATACATAAACAAATGTCATTGTCATATCTCATTATGCACATCATTATTGAAAATACCAACAGGAATGAGTGTGTTGCTGCAAGGCCTGAGGCATTATCAGTCAAGACAATTATGTAGAAGATAAACCAGCTCCAAAAAGGTACAATAGAAAACATTATCATAAGAAGAAAAGTAATTTTAATTAATGTCCCAATGAATCTAACCTCATCTTGAAGAATAAGGGAAATTGTTTAGTCTATGGAAGGTCAGGTATCATGCACCTCAATGTAGACATAGAATAAGAAACGATAATTTTCCTAAAGCAAATTTAGCCGAAGAGATTATATAATTGTTGCGGTCATTTCTAAAATAAATCTTGTTACAAATATAAGCAAATGAGTGGTAGACTTTGGTGCTACCAAACACATTTATGTAGAACATGTTTATCTCAGTGATTTCAGGACAAATTTTGTCCTAAGAAAAGGAAAAATTCTTCTGAAACTCACATTTGAGAATACTCTAGGCTTAAGTGATGAGCTACTTGTGTCATCAATGAGAGTTAATCTAATCTTTGTAGCATTATTGGGAAAAAAATTTGGTTAAGGTGTCATTCAAATCTGATAAGATTATTATAACAAAAAATAATGTGTTTGTGGGGAAGAAATATTGTGATAAATGTCCTTTTATACTTAACATGTTTAAAATTGTTAATAAATATGGTTCCTCTTCTTATATTGTCGATTCATATGATATGTGATTCATATGATATGTGATACGCTAGACTAGGACATGTGAATCCCTTGTATGTTATGAAATTAAATTAATTAATGTTAATTAATTATTAGAATGACTATGATTAATTAATATGCATGATAAACAAAATAGGAAATGTGATCTATGTATAGAATATAAAATAACAAAAAAGACGTGTCACTCAATAAAACGTTACTGAACTTTTAAGATTAATTCATACTTATCTAACTGATCTAAAACAAATCATGTCTAGAGGTGGTAAAATTATTTTATAACATTTATAAATGACTACTCTATATATACCATAATGTACTTAATCAAACATAAAGATAAAGCATTTGACATATTTTTAACCTATAAAGCGGAAGTAGAAAATCAATTAAGTAGAAAAAGTAAAAGGATTAGATCAGATAGAGGAGATGAATATATATTATTTAATAATTATTGTGTTAAGGAAGGTATCGTTCACGAAGTGACCCCATTATATTCACCTAAGTCTAATGGAGTAGTTGAGAGAAAAAAATAAAACTCTTAAAAAAATAATGAATGTCATACTTATTTGTTTTAATGCACTTGATAGTCTTTGGAGAGAAGTTTTACTTACAATATGTTTTTACAAAATAGGATACTACATAAGAAAACTAGTAAAATTCCCTATGAGTTATGGAGAGGTTATCAACCTAATCTTAAATATCTAAGAGGGTGGGGTGTCTAGCTAAGATAATATTATTTGATCCTAAGAAAAGAAAAATAGGCTCTAAAACTTCTAATTACATATTCTTAGACTATACAAAATATAATGTTGCCTATAAGTTTCTTATCCTTAAAAGTGATGTAATTGAGCATAATATTATGGTGGAGAAAAAAAAAGTTGAATTCTTTAAACATATTTTTCCTTAAAGATTAGTGAGACACCTAAATGACCTATAGATATCTATAGTGATGACAGGAATAAGGACTTTAGGAGAAGTAAAAGATAAAGAAAGAAAATCTCCTTTAAACATGATTTTCACACTTATCTAGTTGAAAATGATCCAACGAGTTTTTTAGATGTTATTAGTGCTCCTGATGCAACACATTGGAATAAAGCCATTAAGATTAAAATTGACTCAATCAAGACAAATAATACTTAGACCTTAGTAGATTTGCCTAAGGGAGCAAAATTCATTGGTTATAAATGAATCTTTAACAAAAAACATCATCGTGATGGATCTATGGATAAATATAAGGTAAGATTAGTAGCAAAGAGTTTTACTCAAAAACCTAACATTGATTATTTTGATACATTTATCCATGTGACTAGGATTTCCTTTATTAGAGTTTTGTTAGCTCTAGCAACTATTTATAAGCTAGTTATACATCAAATGGATGTTAAGATAATCTTTTTGAATAGTGAATTAGAAGAGAAAATTTATGACTCAACCTGAAGGATGTGTTGTTCCTGGTCAAGAGAATAAATCATGCAAGTTTTTTACATTTTTGTATGGATAAAACAAACACCAAAACAGTGGCCTGAAAAACTTGATAGTGTTTTATTTTGTAATGATTTTTCAACTAATGATACTGATAAATGTGTACTTTAAATTTGAAAGTAGTGAATGTGTCACTATATGTTTATATGTAGATTATATGCTAATATTTGGTACATGCACTAACATAGTCTCTAGAACTAAGGGATCAAAATTTCAAAAATGAAAGATATGAGTAAAACTAATGTGATTTTGGGAGCTAAAATCATAAGGAAGGGAGATAGTATTTTACTATCCAAAAAATAATATATTGTGAAACTTCTTAGAAAGTTTGGGTATTATGACTTCAAACTAATGAGTACCCCTTATGATATTAACTATAAATTAAAGAAAAATATAAGAAATTATATTTCTCAACTTTTAATATGTATAGATAATTGGGAGTTTATTGCACTTAATGAGCTTTTCTATACCTCACATTACTTATGCAATAAGTACACTCAATGTCTTAATTAGTGGAAGACTAGATTAGCAGCAATATGAAGCGCGATTTGATTATCACAATTTAGGATTGGTTACCTTGAACAGGAAATCCCAAAATCAGCTAGTAAATAAACAATCCATTGTAACTCACACGTAGTGGAAGTGAGTGCCCTATACTCAGCTTTGGAAGAAGATCTGGAAACCGTGTGTTGTTTCTTGGTTTTCCAAGAGACCAAAGAGCTGCCAATGAAAAGGCAATATTTTGTAACTGATCGACGAGAATCAATGCAAGTAGCCCAATCTGCGTCACTGAAACCCAAAACATGAATAGAAGAATATTTAAGAACCTTTAAGATATTTAAGAACACACATGGCAGCCTGGAGATGAGATTGGGTTGGACTAGCCATAAATTGGCTTAATTGCTGGACAGGAAAAGTAATATCTGGGCGCGTGTTTGTGAGATATAATAATCGGCTAATCAGTCGTCTATAAGAAAGAGGATTAGATAGTGGTGTGTTGGAATCTTTGTGAAGACGGAGGGAGTAATCCATTAGAGTGACAGATGATTTACACCCCAACATATTGGAATCAGACAACAAATCTAAGCAATACTTTTGTTAACAAACAAAAATTCTAGCATCTGAGATATTCACTTCCAAACCCAAGAAATACTTAAGAGGCCCTAAATCCTTGATGTGAAAATTAGAATTTAGGATCTGCTTAACAATGTCAATTTCACATAAGCAATTATCAGTGCTATTATGTTTGGTAAAAAGGCTATGATCTACATGTGCCTGCTGATATCCACAAGACAAAAGAAGAAGAGAAAGTTTCTCATACCAATTATGACTACCTTGCTTGAGGCCATATAGAGATTTACGAAGTTTGTAGCAATGTGAACTAGAATAGCCATGAATGCCAAGAGGGATGGTCATGTAAACATCTTCTGTTAAATCACCACGCAAGAAGGCATTGTTAATATCTAATTGCTGCAAATGTCATCGATTGACTGAAGCCAAAGCCAGGACAACACGGATGGTGGTCATCTTTGCCACAGGGGAGAAGGTCTCTATGTAATCAATACCTTCAATTCGAGAAAACCCTTTTGCAACAAGCCGCACTTTGTAGCGTTCAAAACTGTCATCAGCTTTGCGCTTGATTTTGTAAACCCATTTACATTTGATGGGTTTAACATTAGGAGAGTTACAACAATGTCTCAGGTCTGATTTAGATTAAGAGCATCAATTTCAGCTTTTATTGCCTCAATCCAACAGGGGGTTTGAGCAGCCTCTTTGTAAGCAGTGGGTTCAATCTTAGAGAAAAGGGACATGGCAAATTTGTGATCAGAAAGAGGTAACTGAGAATAAGAAATTACCTGTTGAATGGGATGTGCACACTTGGAGGATGGCTGATCTGGTGAAGTACTAAAGGTGTTGTAGACAAAGTCATGAAGACGAGTGGATGGTTGAAGGATGCGATTGGAACGATGAAGTGGGAGAATGGATTGAATGGGAGAATGGATTGGGTCATTGTTGCTAGTCGTGGATAAACCAGGTGAGGTGGGATGTGTGGCGGGTGATGTTGGGTTGGATAAGGACAGAGGAGATGACGTATTTAGTGCTGGGAAATTGTCATATGGGGTATATGGATTGGGCCAAGAAGGTAAGGGATATAATAAAATTGGGTTTGTATAAGGGTGGCTACATTTAAAAAAGGGGATGGATGGTGTTGCAGGAAGAGGTGGTGTGGTGTTAGGAGACATAGTATTGGGCTTCTTGAAAGGGAGGATGACCTCATGAAATATGACATTTCTTGATAAAAAAATTTATTTGGAATCTAAATCCAAAATAATGTACCATTTTGTTCCATTCTGAAAACCTAGAAAAACACCACGTTTAGATCGTAAATCAAATTTCTTGTGAGGATGATGAGTGGAAGCATAACAAAGGGATCCAAAAACTTTGATAATGGAATAATCTAGTTTTTTATGAAACAATAATTCAAAAGGTGTTTTATTTTTTATAACAGGTGAGGGAACCCGGTTTATGAGAAAAATAACATGTTCAATGGCATAGGACCAAAAAACATTTGGAATCTCATATTGAAACATAAGAGCACGGACAACATTGAGAATGTGTTGGTGTTTACGCTCAAATCTTCCATTTTGTTGAGGTGTGTAAGGACAACTTGTTTGGTGAATAATATCTTTGGAGGCATAAAATTTCTTTAAAGAAAATTTAGGACCATTGTCAGAACGAAGTATTTTTACTTTGGAGTCAAATTGTGTTTCAACTAAGGTAGTGAAGTTTTGAACATTTATTTGGACATCTGCCTTTGTTTTTAACAAAACAACCTAAGTAAATCTACTAAAATCATCAATAATTGTTAGAAAATATTTATGGCCATGAATAGAACGTTTAGAAAATGGGCCCCAAAGATCCATGTGAATGAGGTCAAATATTTTTGAAGCTTTAGTATCACTAATAGAATATGACAATTGCTTTTCTTTAGCTAAGTGACAAAGGTCGCATGGTTCATTAGTATTCTTTGAAATAAAAGGGAATTGCTCATGTAAAACATTGAGTCTTTTGTCTGACAAGTGTCCTAAACGAAAATGTCAAAGGTTGTTGATGGTAAAGAGGGAAAGATGGTTGACAGAGGAGATATGAGGAGTGATGTTGGAATTATCTTGAGTGATTAGGTGATAGAGACCTTGTTATAACTTAGCCAAACCAACCATCTTCATTGTGCTCACTTCATGTATTTGGCAAAAAAGGCCCGAAAAGGTTAATTTATGATTATGACTTGAGAGAAACTTTGAAATGGAGAAAAGATTAAAACTAAAATCTAGGACATAAAGTACATTATGAATTATAAAATCTGAAGCAAAATGGACAGTGCCAGAATAATGAGAAGTGACTATAGAGCCATTGGGTAAATGAATAGTAATGGGTTTTATTTTAGAAAACACTTGAAAATTTTGGAGAGAGCAACTAATGTGGTCAGTGGCTCCAGAGTCAACAATCCAAGAAGAGGAATTATTTAATGAATTAAAAGAAAGAGCATGAGAATTGATGATGGAAGAGATAAAGGACATGTTACCACTGGGCCCAGAAAAATTATTTGGGCCTTTCTGGATGAGGTTGACCGAAGGCTGAGGTTTACTGCTGTTGGAAACACCCGAGGCTTGTTGAAGTAGAGACAATAAGTGTTTATATTGGGCTTGAGTAAAATTCAGACCCGATCCATGTTGTTGCCCCATAGAATGTTGTTGTAAAGAGGCTTGATCATCAATGGTAACGACGTAATTGACAGATGAAGAATTAGAAGAATAACCACCATTTGGGTTGTGAAAACGCGGATGGCCTGGGTATCGAGGGTGCCCAGGAGGATAGCCATATTTGCTATAGCAAGTGTCAACAGTGTGTCCTGTCTTCTTACAATACACGCATACTTTTGAAGATTTGGATTGTTGGATTCGGTCACCACCGTGGTTTTTTCCAGAGGAACGTGTGTGAGTGACATTAACTGAAGAATGAAACTTAGAATCAACATTATTTGTAAATTTATTGGGCGCATCAAGAGGTGAAGCAACAGTCGAATGTTGTCGCTCATTCTGAATTACCATGGAAAAAACTCTGTTAACAGATGGCAAAGGATCAATTAACAAGATTTGAGATCGAACAACATGAAATCTATCATCAAGGCCTTTGAGAAATCGAATGATAAAGTCCTGCTGGTGGTAAAGGCGAGCTTGACAATTACAAGGTGGAAGACGACAAAAATTGTCAAGCTCTTCCCAAGAGGCTTTCAGATTAGTAAAGAAATCAGTAATAGAAAAGGAGTCTTGCTTCTGGACATAAATCTTCTCTTGGAGCTCTGCAATATACATAAGGTCGCTTTGAAAAAAATGTTCTCGTAGATCATTCCAAACATCAATAGTACGATCCAAATAAATGATGCTTTGCGCAATCGAAGGGGAAACAAAATTTATGAGTCATGACATTAACAAGGTGTTGCAACGCTCCCATGAAAAATAGATGAGATTATTCGGGGTAGGGATAGGAATAGTCCCAGTGAGGAATCCGATTTTATTCTTAGAGGTGAGTGCCATACGAAATGAACGAGACCAAGAATGATAGTTACCACCAGAGAGGACAGGGGAGACTAAGATAGATGATGAACGTTTGACAAGTGCACCAATCGTTAACGTAGTAATAAAATATCGTCCTCTGGGATTGAATTTGTTGAATACTAGATTCCTAATGTACGTAAGTTTGAGCAATTGAAAATTTGGATAAAATAGCAAACATAGAATTATAATAAGAACTTTAGTCAAAATAAGATCTGTTAGAGAATTGATTTCATACCCTTTCCTATATAATTCCAGTCCTTTCAATTGATGCAAGAAATGTAATTATCCACTTGAGTTTACCTAGAGTTGTTTTACCCCTAATCCCTTAGTAGGCAAAACTATTCATTGAATCCGAACCCCCAATCCCTTAGGTCAATTACGCCATTCAATAGAATCATGAAAAAAAACAATAATCTTTTCTATTGCAAACTAATTAGATATATGCCCAATTTCCCAATTGTGACAAACCCTAACCTATTATATTTAGGATCGTGAACAACCTCCAATCTCCTAATTGTGAAACTGCTCGTGGAATGAACTTGAAAATTATAAATAGAACACTGAGATAAAGAACATTAACTAAACATCAATTGTCAAGAACAAGAAAATATAATTCAGAGTACTACATCAATCCTCTAACAACAGGGAAATCAGTTCTACATAATATAAAAATTCTCAAAAGATAATAACTAGAAGGTAACAAATAGAGAATGGTTGCCCCCCCTCCCCTTTTCAGTTTCGTTCCAACTTCTTTATAGGGTGTCCCACGTTTTTCTCCACTTGTTGAGGTAGTTACCACTTCTCATAACCGTCTTGAATTTCCACAGGTGTGGAAAAATCCACAACCCACCTGTGGAACTCTCTGACTTCAACTGTGCATTTTGAACTACAAATCCACAGGTTGTGGAACATTTCACAAGGTACCTGTGGAACTTGCTGATATGAAATCTTTCTATCTTAACACCAACTCCCTCCAAACTATGAATTCAAACTTCCAAACACCTATTTACAAGAACAATGCACAAACCAACATGTATGATCCAAAACAACGATAATACATGATGAAATCGTTCCCATAATGCAACAACATATGAAATTAAACTAAATTAATGCATGAATATAATGATATTTTATCCACCCATCAATTCTCCCAAGCTTAGACTTTTGCTTGTCCTCAAGCAAAGAGAATTTAATAAAAACAGGACGATAATGCAAACAAAATGATGAGTGTTTTTGATTGGGAATACATCGTCTTGTCTCAAAAATCCAAATTCAATCAATGATATTCCAAAAGTATATATTCCACAATTGTTGGGTCCCTAAGTGAGTTAAGGAAAGGATGTAAGGCACAAGACATCAAGGAAGACAATCTTTGAGCTTTATTTTCTCTTTACAAAACTTTTTCTTAGGTTCTTGCCTAGAAGACAATTACCTGCCAACTAAACATGGATCTTCCACTCAAATGCTTTGCACTTGCCACACCCGGTCTCAAAGGAGTGTCTCGTTCCCCAGTAACTCACACAGTCTCAAAGGGGTGTCATTTCACTTATTATGTTTTTTTTTACATTATTGTGAACTAATAGACAATTCTCCAGTAACCAAATGCAGTGAGTGTCACCATAGAAACCTAAAAAATTTAAAAACTTTCATATCCTTTTTACTCTATGACTCAAAGATTTTCTTCCTTAAGTGTCATAGTGTCCAGACTTCCTATGTAGTGTGTGAAGTTTCCCAACAAATAATCATGACAGATAACCATAGTATGCTTCATAAAATATCACTGAACAAACTTAAGACTTGAGTTAAGATAATGAATTCTCAATTCAATGTATATGTTATGCAAATGTAACAACAGAATGATATGCAATTGACCCTCCCAAGCTTAAATGTTTATGTTGTCCCCAACATAAGCAAAATAACTAAGACTAGAAGGGATAGAACTCACAAAATTATGGTTGGTTGGAGTGGAGGAATTCCATCACCTCTTGGAGCAATTGTTCCATGCGTTGTTGATGAAGAAGTTGGGAATCTCGAAACTCTATTTTTGCTCTTCATTCTCGCAAATAATGCCATGGACATTTTCATCGAAGGGAAAAGAAGACCGCGACTGTTTTCCGGTCGAAGTCCCTAATATAGGAGATGGTTCTGCAGGAACAGAGACCGGAGTTGCTTGTTGTCGAGATGACGTGGGGTTTGCGTTGCTGGTGTCGGTGTGGATCTTACGACGGCCTGAGCAGCGGCTCTTTATCCGAGTTGACATGGTGAAGTGACGGAGTGGATGAGGAGTATGGAACAAGGTGGGTGTGCCGCACTAAGGAAAGAAACCCCCAACGTGAAATATGTCTTAGGGTTCTGTTCTTCTAAAATAAATATATATATATATATATATATATATATATATATATATATATATTTTTTTTTTTCAATCGGAATGATTGTTACATGGTGATGTTAATGAAACGCATGCCTTATATTTTTCAAACTCACCACCAACATACCTTTTCAATCTTTGACCATTTACTCTAAAACTTTTTTCTGAATTGAGAGTTGAAATTTCAAGCTGTACCAAATGGGAATACTTGCTTAATCACAAAGGGACCGGACCATCTAGATTTTAATTTACCTGGAAAAAGTTTGAGCCTAGAATTGTATAACAACACCTGT